CAATTGCATTACTTGCAGTACTATACTAGAGTTTCTTCCTATTTTCTACTTGCATACCAGTTAGTTCTTACCATGTTACTATGCACTTCAGCTTCATGAAGAGCCGGACTGGAATTTCATCAGAGCAAAACAGGCTCAAATTGCTTTTCTGTTCGGTGTGGATGATCACTGGGGTCCACTGACTCACTTGGAAGAGGTGAATAGATCTCATTCGTTGTTTCAACGGCATTATTCTGATTATGTGAGTTGTTATGTTGTATCATGGATAGCTTTGCTCATGTTAATTTTTCTGGGAGTGTTAAAATACAGATCTCAAGGCATGCTCCAGGGGTTGCCTTGTCGGTCGAGAAAGAAGGTCATACACACGGCTACTGCTGCACGGAGGCTGGATCCTTCTGGGTTGCTGACTACGTCGCAAACTTGATTAAAAACCAAATGCTCATCGGAGATAGCTGATGGCAGACAATTATCTTCTTTTGATGAAGTAATATAGAAGTGTGATGCTGGATTCTAAATACTAGTGTCTATCTTGCATATGCTAGTCCAGGATGACAGATCTCAAAAGTCACATGCTGAATACTGCTATCTAACTTGGCCTTCATGCAATATGTTTTCGTCCTCCTTTCCCTGATGAACCTGACAAGCAACAACCGCCTCATTATTCTTACTGCATAAATCATATGTGTGTTGATTGACTAGTTTTCGGAGATGCTTCTATATTGATTGACACATTTTGTTGAAATAGTGCAGAGTAGATCTAAATGCTCTTATATATTTTGTACAGAGGGATTAGATGATAGCCGAGAAGTTTTTGTGAAAAACCAGCGCCTTGGAGTTGAATTCATTGTGTTTGAACTCTTGAATCGATCTAAAGCGTATGACACCAGATCTTACCATTGCACATGACCCCCAACCTCACTGACCGAAGGAGATGACAGGAACCTACACTGGAGCTTCATCGACTTCGTTCAAGCGGATGAACTCGGGGAGGATCGGAGCCTGAAAGACAAAAACAGAAAAGTACACCATCTGTTCGAGTGCCGCTCCTACAAGGACTAAAAACCCATAACCTTAAACTACTAGTAGAAGTTGAGTCACTTGTCATCGGGCGCCAAAGCCGCAGTCGGATGGGAGGTGAACCCACAGGCTAGCCAGCACGGGAAGAGTTTCTCCTAGCT